AGGTCCAATAGTTCATTGGCTTCAAGTTCCAATGATTTAAGCGGTGGTTCCAGAAGACCTTTAAAAAAACGAATCGTAACACATGGCTTTGTGTGGAAGTATTTTGAAAAAGTGAAAGATTCAAATGGAAATGATTCATAATTTGCAAGTTAAAAAAAAACGAAATATTATTATTATCATTATAAAAAAAAATTTATTCACACTAAATAATCGACCAAAGAAATTTTTGACCAACTAGTATTCGAATAAGAATTTTTGGACGGTTCCAACCTCTAATGAATATCAAACCTGCTTTCTAATGATGTCAATGACGCTGTTGCAACAATAAAAATAAGAATGCTATTCCTGACTAGAGTCAATCAATAGATTTTCCTAATTTAGGAAGGCATATATATTCGATTGGGAGCACGGCTTAAAGGCACTCGGAAGAGCCGTTGGGATGATAAAAGACAAGTAACAACAGGCGAAAAAATTAAAAAGAATTATTATACATACAATTCACGTTATCACGTGGTTGCCCAACACCAACATGTGATGAGAATTATTAACGTCAGAAGATTTTTTTCTGACATGATTGTAATAATAGTAGAACTTACAAGCGTAACATTATGACCGGAAGAATTCCCTAACATATTAAGGATCCAAAGATGACTCAAAAGGATCAATTAATTGCAAGTATTTAGGTAATGAAGCAAAGTATATTAACGCGAGTCTCGAAAGTTGATTGGTGTGATTTTTTTCTGACTTACATACCAAAAATGTATTAGTGATTGTCCTTATGACTTTCTTCAGTTTTCCTTTTTTGGAGCTCACTATTAACCCAAATTATAGATAGTGCAATATTAGCATGTAACGATAGAATCATACAACACTTTGCTCCTTACATAATAATATATATGGTGTGACTCTGTATTTAGATCAAAAATTAGTCGAATGGTGGAATGACGATATACTAATACGATTAGTAATGTTTTTTTGTATGCATTGGATTAATCCGGGATGACAACAGATTTTATTTTTCTTTTAAAAAAGTATAAATTGTATTATTAATTTAATTTAATTTAATTTCTCTTTTTTCATGAAAATTCGATTTTTATATTTTGCAAAAAATTATCAAAGATAATGTGTATCTTATTTTGGACTTTAAATAATCATCCTAAATATAAATTGTAAGTACTTTGTTTAATTTAACAATAATAAATAAATATTAATAATAAAATTTATATTAGAATGGTAACATATTATCTAAAAAAATTCAAAAAGTATATTTGCTGCAAATCGAGATGAATATTTGAATAGGCCAACATTGTTGGCATCATGGTGGAATCCAAATATTCTAAGCGGTTTAGACTTACAAAGATCGGATAAAGGAACATGGTTGGGTATAAGCCGTAATGGAAGATTTGCAGCCATTACCAATTATCAAGAACGATTACGTGAAAAAATGCCTTTATCACGTGGATTGGTTGTAAAAAAAATATTAGAATCATCTGATGATAATAGCAACAGTAATGGTAATAATAAATCATTAGAACAATGTATGTCGGAATTGAGTTTAGAAATTGATAAATACGGTGGATTAAATTTGTTTACGGTAGATTTAAAAGATTCAATAAAAGCTTTTTATTTAAATAATCGAGAGAATGTTGAAATTAGACAATTGGAGAAGGGAATGGTTTATGGTTTAAGTAATACTATTTTGGAGAAGCCTTGGCCTAAAGTTAATTATGGAATCGAGAAATTGAAATTTATTTTAAAAGAAGTTGATGAACAAGATGAAGATGAATTGGTTAAAAGATTATTTGAATTATTAAGGTGAGATATAATGTTATCAAATATTTAAATATATCCAACATCTAACAATTAATTAACTTACTGCTCTTCAGCACTGTTACACCTTCTCAAGAACCAATAGATGAAAATATTAAATATCTTGCAGATTTACTTCATCTAAGGTATACGATCAGAGTACCTAAATATGATGTAGATGGACCATATGCTACCAGAACAAGTACAATTATATTAGTAGATTATGATAATAATGTATTATTTATTGAAAAAAATTTGTTTGATGAGGAGGGAAAAGTTATTGAAGATGAAAATAGTGGTACGAAATATAGATTTAAAATCGATGGTGACGATGACGATGGAAGTAGTGTTAGTAAAGTAGTTATAGGTGTAGGTGATGATGATAATTGCAATAAAGATATAGAAAATGACATTAAAATCGTTAATATTTTTAGTACTGAGGATAATATTACTAATGATTTATTGATAGATTGATAAAGTAATTGTAAATAATTCATCTTAAATTAATTATATATTATATATTTATTAATTTTATTTATTTATTAGTAAAGAAAGATTAATCTCAAAATGGAATTGAGTGTGTGAAAAATATATTAAATTAAAATTATGTATCACGTATAATAAAATTAAATTGCGTAGATGCACGTATATTTAATACACGTGATCTATAATTCTAAAGCCTGCTTAGTTGAGAAAATACACAATTTAATAATTATTAGCATTAGTATTGATAGTGTTATTTGATGGTATTGGTATTATTCTATTCCTAAATCTATTTTTTAATATTAATAAATAATAATTCTCTAAATATTAAAAACTAATAATGTAAATAAAGTACATTGTTTATAAATACATCATGATTGTGTGTGTATGAATAAAAATAACGAATATTTTCTATTTATTCTAAACAATCAAATTACAAGAAAATTCGTTACTTAAATAATAAATGTTTATTTATGATGATGGTTATTAATAAATTAAGCAAAAAAATGTGTGTTTTGCCTACTATCTTCATGCACTTGCATTTCTCCCATTTTAAATTCGTTTAATTCATCTTTTATTTGCTGTGCAAGTATTGGTGTTAACTGATTACAAGTTGACTGATCACCTCGTCGATCATAATCTTCAGGCGTCCAAGTATCATGAAATAATATTTTTGACGAGAATGAAAGTTTCTTAAAGGATGATGATAAAGGTGTATTAGGAAAATTATTAGTTGCATTATCATCATCTTCTTCTTCTTCCCCTCTTTCTTTCCCCTCCCCATCTCCATCATCATCATCGTCATCATCATCAAAAGCGTTAAATAATATTTATTGTATATGTATATATAGGATATGATGTGCAATTAGTTAATACCACACAACCACCAGATGGACATTTTGGTCAAGTAGTATTAGGTCAACAAAGAAAATTTGACACATATGGCATGGTAACAATTGTATCAAACTTCACTGGCATGCAGTTATACATAGATCCTTCCGGACCACCACTAAATTTCTACAAATCTGTATCATGTTTCGATGCACCAGTACAAAGATGTCGACAAGAACTAAAAACATTACTTCTCACCAAAGAAATATTATGTCTGGGAATAACAAATCCAACTAGCATGGAAACCAAATTCACATTGTCAATAAGTTTTACTTCAGGTGTTCCCATCCCAGTCCTAAATATACCACCCGTATCAGGTACCATCACCTCTTCTACAACAGGACCAATTATAGTTGGTACAATCGAGCCTACATATATACCATCTCCACAATCTAAATCTAGTAGTAGTAGTACTAGGACTATCGTAGAACCAACTGCTGCTCCATTTTTTTATGTTAGTGAAGCAACTAGTAAGGATCCTTATTATTGGAAATTGATTCCTTTTGGTTTATTATTATTATTGGGTTTATTTGGAATTAATTGGGATTAATTATGATGATTATTATAGACAAATTTAATTATTTACTAAACAATTTAGAAAAATATTAATTTAATTAATTAAAGGTTATTATTTATTTTCTCCTATGGAAAGAGGGAGAATAACGTAAATAATATATCATTTTATTTTTTTTATGTAATATATAATTTATCTTTGGGTTTTTTTTTTCGCGGCAAATGCTGTTTACCCTTTTTATTTTGTTGTTGTTGTTGTTATTGTTATTGTTATTTTATTATTATTATTATTATATATTTTCTAAAAATTTTTTTTTAATCGACTTTTTTACTTTTTCTTTTCAAGTCCTCTTTTAATGCAAAATTTAAATGTACAAAACTTTGATAAAGACAGAATCCAGGTATAATAATCCATATGAAATTAATTGTAAAGAAATAGCCCCAGAAGTAAATAGGTTCAGGTCTAGAATGTGGTGACCCGATGATCAGTGTAGTAAAATAATATAAAACATCGCCATATAATTGACCTAACGAAACTATCAGCTGTAATATGTATCTTGATGGCCAATTATTATAAATTGCTATTGATGTTAAAAATGATAATGGTCCCCAAAACATCTATAATAAATAAAGGAGTTAATATTTATTTAGAAAATTAAATTTTCTGTAAAAAAAATTATTTTTTTAACTTACAGAAGTAATTCCTTCCATAATAACAACAAAAGGATCAGATGTCAAATATCTTGAATCGGATAACGCATACTCTTTCCAAAGCTGAGACATTAAACTATTATCACCAACAATTTCTTTATGGAAATAAGAGAAATACCCTTCCAAGAACAAATGAATAAACCCACATATGATAAACCAAACAAATAACAACTTATTTATAGTTGATACATTAGATTTTGTTCTAATTATTACCAAGGAGGCCGTTACAACTGTGATGACTAATGCAACAAATATTGATAAAAGTTGTGTTGTTGTGTATGTTGATTCTATGTAAGTCGGTAACTAATATATATATTTAATAAATTAGATTGTGTGTGCAATAGATTTAATAGGTTAATAAAATTCATTTTATCTCGCTAATTTGTTACCTTGAGATTAGTTGGATAAAATGGATGAGTTGGAAGAGTTATGTTTGGAGTGGGTCCATCTGTTGTACCTTTATTAGATGAACTGCCTGTAAAAAAAGAAAATAGTTCTGCAAACATTTTCAAAATATTTATTTTTATTTAAAATAATATAAAAGATATTTTGCCTCGATCAATTATAATAATTTTTAAAAAAAGGTATACAATAATGGAAAAAGTGTTAAATAATTTGCAGAATTATTTACTCGAAAAAGAAATTTCATTCGTCTGATCGCTGCAGGTAACTCATTTTTAAAAAATAAGAACATCATTAACATTAATTCAATTTTAATTATGCATTTTTAAAAAAATTTTCTTTATAAAAAATTTTTGTGTTTGTGTTGTAGAAGACTAACTTTTGATCCTGCGTATCTGGAAAAGAAAAGTATTCAGATTTAAACTCTTAAGAGAATAATAATAAAAAAGTTTATTATTTTCAAAACAAAAAATGTTTTTATAATTGATTATAATATTATATAAATATATATTTGATAATTATAACAAACAATATCAAAATAAATATCATTATTTATTCACTCATTTCATTTTCCTTATTATAGTTTTTTTTTTACATAATTTTTTTTT